CTCCCCGGCGGGAACTAAACAACGTTTATCATAAACCACGGAGATTGCATTGGTAAGAGAGAGCGAGTATTTATTTTTTCCATGAATATCGTATCAGCCTCGAGGGTAGTTCACACCCCTGCCGGTTGCGCAAGCTTTATCCCATCAAATATTAACGCGGTATTGTTGCTAACGATGACAAAGTAAGACGTTTCGGAAATGAGATACTTATATTTTTATCTCGATAACTATTATTTACCGGAAAAATTATTGTTGGGATAAATGCTGGGACACCCTGTAGGTATGTTTTTGAAGGTATAACGGAAACAGTGGGGTTACACCGATGCGGCAATATAATTCAAGCGGTCTCGGTCCGGTTCCTCGGGGAGAGGAAATGTCGCGCACCTCGTAACAGGGTAAGTTGCACCCCAATTTCGCCGTACAAGATCATATCACTTAGTCATATCTGGCTTAATTTCCCTCCAGACGGCTTGTCACTCAGATGGCCGCCCTAAACACGCTTTAATTTCATTCGGCCGCGACTCGCGCGGTAAATAAAAGTCGGGAAAAAGTCTCGAAACAGAAGGAAAAACATCCCCGGTGTATCGAGGGAACAAAAAAAAAACGTTCGAAATCGAAACGTACTGTTTCTATGTATTTTTTGCGCGTCTGCTCCTGAGAGGATAAGGGACCTGCCAAAAGAATGGAAAAATTAAATTGTACAACAAAAAATGATTCCTGCAATGCAATGTATTTTTGACGTTCGAATTAGCATTAGTATTGGCCTAGAAATAAATTAAATAATTGTGGTAACTTTTCCAGTGAATTGTGCATTATTTTTGTTACTAGTTTTAGTTAATTTGAGAATCCCCATATCTCGATAAAAGAGCATGATATAGGATAAAAAGTTATATGAATATGAACATTTTTTTTAATTCCTGTGTGAGGTGTGATTTTTGTGAAACAGTGACGTTGATTTAAAAAATATTCCGCGACCGCTATCTCGGGCGGGGTGCGAAACGGGAAGTTTGAAATTTTTGAGTTTCGTTCCGGTTGGGGAGAGTGCGGTCGAATTAGAGTTCCCGTTGGAAAAATTAATATTCGCGAAAGTTCCAGGGCGTTTGTGCGGTGGAAATCGCGGGAAATGCAAATGAGGGGGCGTCGGGCGTGCGGGGGTTGTTTATTACCCACTTCGCTACATTCGAAAAGTTGACGTGCCGTAGACGGACGAAAAAAAAAATAACTCGCATGTTTTAAGTGGTATTCGCGAATTATATTTTCGGCCGGGAATTTAATCAAAACTTCACCGAAATTCGGAAACTATGTTAATTCCCCTCACGGCGCGCGGAAATGTCATTTTAATAATAGAACCGAAATCCGGTTTATCCTTTACCGTAAGTTATTAATGTTTCGACAAGAGCAGAATTGATTGCGCCCCAAAAGGGTTAATTCGATTTTCCCCATTAGCCCGATTTCGCGCAATTCGCCCAAAAATCCGCTAAAAATCCGTACGTGCCCGACGTTATTTATCGACTTCGCCGACAAAAATCGAATTATATATTATTAGTAAAACCGCTAATCGAGCAATTACGATCGCCGAAATGAAATATGAAAACGCGCAAACATTAAATTAAAGCCCGACCGCGCCAGGATTTCGATTCAATATCGAAAATACTCGCTTTTTGCAGTTGGATGTTTTATTCTAAATTAGCCGTATTTTTCGCAAGTGAAATTTTAAATCGGATTGTTATAAACTACGGATAAATTTTTAAGCTAATTGGATGTCCGCCCGCCTTTCATTAACGGCTCCCCCGTACATAAATCACACGTGTTGATTTAAAGCCGAGAGCGGGCGATTTTTTCGCCATTAATTCGCACGGGCATCGATTTAATTAAAGCTCGCGATAACCGCGAGAACCTTTTCGTCCATTGTTTCCCATTGTGCGCCGGGAATTGGGCGAAGGATACAAAACGGGCGCTCGCCTTCCGCTATCTTTTCCTCGGATATTGTTCTCTTTATATTCCGGCTAGTTGCTCCCTCGTATATTCATTTTTGTTTTGCTCGTTTTCTGGCCGTTCTCACCAAATCCCCTTTTCGAGATACGTATATAAAAACCCGCCGTGTTCCCGGATTTACATATACACTCACACCTACCTATATATATACAGAATGTCCCTTTTCCGAATTATTCGCTAATGAAACACCGACCGCCGTTGTAGCGGCCTTAAAGTCGCGTATAAATCAAGCGGGTTCCGGGCGAAACTTTCAATAATTGATTGAGGTAGAGGCGTCGGGACGCTGCTAAACGCCCCGTCGCTGGTCCCCCCGACGCTTTTGCATCCCAATTTCCACGGACCATTGACTCGACTAAATTGTATATGAGGGATTAGCCCGCAGTTATGGAACGACGTAAATTTCTAATACTGAAACTGACTATATACTTGAGATTAGTTTAATTGCCGCTATCCGACAAACAACTCGGGCCATATTATCGCAGAGGCGGCGCATTTTACACTAAAAAACCTACTCCAAACATTGTCAAATTAAACAATGTCCTTAGTTACTCCATAACAACCAATGTAAAACTGTCAATTGTCAATTGAAAGAATCGTCTTAGTTACTCTATAACAAAACAACAATGTAAACCTGTCAAATTAGACATTTATTTCTGAATTTGAATAAAATGTGTACCCCTTTGGCGGACTGTCCTTGTGCAAATGTAGAATATACACCGTTATAAGTTTTAGCGGTGTTTAAGTACCAAAGTACCAGATGGAATCCCTCATCATGTATGTGGAATTAGTTTGTTTCGTTTTATTAAAACCGCACGTTCAACCGCGGAGTGTTCTAATTAATCGTCATTAAAGTTTGGAAGTTGCTCCGTCGTCTGAATTATATCGAGCTATTTTAAGTCCTCTCGCCGTCGTTTTAACTGTATTAGAAACAATAGGACAGAATTTCCATAGAAGCGTCGGGCGAATTTTCTAATTGTTTTAATAATAATATTATCGCGTTATCGTTAGGTGAACTCGCTACCCTCCTCGGGGATATACACACACGGAGTATTATATTTAAAGTTATTGTTCGATTCGTCGGCGCCATCGCATTCGCTGCGAATGACAGCTGATTCGGCGCGGGCCCGGCGCTATTTGTCCGAAATGCGGGAGAACAAAAACAACAATCGGAGATTCGAAACGACAACAAATTTAATTGTGAAAACGAGTTTGCGTTTTCGCTAAGTTTTTACGCCCGCCTCCCGGGACAAAGGGGCTTTAATTTCACTGATGGAAATGTCATGTACGTCGGCCGGGCTCTCGTTGTTTTTAACTCTTTCTCGAGACCGGAGCGCGAGGGTTATTAGCCCGCTTTTATCCTTTAATAATTGGGTGAGAATTTTATGGCAGCGGATTAGATGCGTTATTCTTATCTTTGGATTTTTACCCACACACAATAACGTTTTACTTTTGTTACTATATTTCGAGATTATTTAGAAACAAAGGTGGTTAAATTGGGCGCTGGGATATATTTACTAGCTGAGAGCTTATAAAAGGATATTTTAATAATATTTTGGTAAATTGGACGATTGTTTGAGTTGATTAACACTGTAAAATAGGAGTAGAGTAGAGTAGAAAAGTGGTAGAGAAATCAGGAGAACGATATTTGAAAAATAACGCTTATTTTGTAACAGTCGTTACTGCATCTCTATACAAACAACATTCCCACCTCTATACACTTCTGTCATATGCAATGTCAATAATGTCAATTTTGACAGTAATGTATTATCGAACGCATCTTAAAGTCATTAAAGTAGAATATGCAGCTATATAGCTAGCATTAAAAAAATTTTATGGGACTTGTATGTGTTGCATTTGCAATAATTTCCTCCCCGTGTGGGGTGTATACATGCTTCTTGACTTTTACCCTCGGTATCGAAAACGCAACGCACCTCGATTTACGAGCAGCATATTACGAACATGCACGTATTTTTCGACTGCAATTAGCTTGTCTGTGGGAACAGCGCGGATTTGCATAAAACGAGGGCGGTCGAGGTTGAGTCATATTTTTCGGTTTCCTCGGCGAAAACGAATTTACTTAATGCCGGACGAAATATTCCGGGCTAATCATAAAAAAAAAACGAAGGAAGGCAGGGTGCGAGAAATTGATAAACCGGATCGAAGCCCGGAGATTGGAAAATAGGGATTCGGTCAAGAGTGTCCCCGTAACTCGAGCTCGGAATACAATAAAATGACGTGCCGTTTTCTATTACCTATACACCGAGTTGTCGGAGCATCGGAGACCTCGGATGTGGATATACATACACATTTCACGTCCGACTGTCGTCGTCTTAACGTGGAAAAATCCGCACACGCCAACTTTTATTATTTTCACCGGCTTCAAAATCGTACTAAGATATAGCGCTCGGTCGATTTGTTCTACTCCAATCATCAATTTCCTATACCGGGCGCGACGTTCGAGAGTGGAACTAAGCAGTTTATTTAACAATAAGCTCGACCCAAAGCCATAAATCTCCAATTCGGATTTTATTATTGCTCCGATTCTGGTTATATTCGTGTAAGTTTATTAGAGCACACGCGGTAACACACCCTTTTCCCACAACGGCCACTCGAAATGGCTATTTTATGCATGTGATTGGAAGGAATTAACCCTAATCTCTCTTTTCTATTTATAAGTTCATGCAAATCGCGTCCGATTTAAATAAAATAATTGGACTGTTGCGAGAGAACCGATTTGTTTGCGTTCGCGTTTTCCTACTGATTTCCCTTAATAGTTGCGTGTTAATTACGATAAATTTTTATTTAGGGATATTTTAATGAGGCGAATACTTAAATGAATCACACTGTAAAATACCTCTAATAGCTACCTATTTTATTGTGAATTATGGGTATAATTAGGAAATATGTAAATTACACACGATCGTAAATAAACCAACAAGTGAATTAAGTTGTTTTTCTAATGCAATATCAAAAATGGGGGGTTAGAAATAAATAAAACAAATATCAAGATTAAAAATATTTTATTGCTTCATCGGGCTAGAGTGAACGAATAATAATATATATAATATATATTATATATAGATGCTCTAAATAAACAACATGCATACACTATACTATCTAGAATTCATCTAAGAAAATACTACCTCAAAAAATTTCACTCCAAAAACCTTTATTGCTTTTCATTGCGATTAAATTTACAGCACGTACTAAACGCTCTAAATTTATATAGAGCGCACGTCATTTTTTGTATCGTACGCTCTAAATCTCTAAAAACCAAGTGGTGTCGAATAATATACCGGAAGACCCGAAAAATCTTTAAATTTTAAAAATATGTGTATATAAATTTCTATCGTTATCATCTAGCTGTATAGTTAGTATAATAAGCTTTAGGTGCGTTATTTTGTTAAATGTATAAATGAAAAATTCATAAATATTCGAGCGAAAATACGCGCCGTTATTTTAACGAGGCCGATGTAAATTTCAAAACGATCCATAAACGAAACCACCGCGGATTTCGCATATTTCATTTATTATTGCGCAACCCCATTGTATTGCGTAAATTTCCCTTTTGTTTCCAACACAGCCGGAGCATCCCCTGATGGACGATAACTTGGCTTCGTAATTTTCAACGCGTTTTTTTTCCAAACACATACAGGTGAAAATTTACACAGTTAATGCAATCCTTTCACCCCCTATATTAGTACCTAACAATCGATTATTAATCGACTGATTTTCTCGAGTTGCGCTGCAAAACGAGAGCCTTGTTGTAGTTTAATCCAATTGGGAGGAAGATTAAAATTAATATCGGGTTGAATCTGGTCTTGATTTTGTTGTGTTTTGCTCGGGGTTTTCGGTAATTGGGGCGTGGAAACGGATGGTTTCCGTTGGATCCCTCGTCGACTCGCTCGAATATCCATGAATTTTCGAAAGCTTACTTATCGTACGTTAAATTTTTGTTAATTTTTTTTTCGCGTAACTATCACAAACGTTAATGTTCTCGATGCCGAGATATCGATCCGATCGATTGATTTTCGATTGACGCTAATCGAATCGAAATCTGATCTTTTCGGTTAAACTTTCGATAGGGTATGCATGTCTTACAAAAATTCGGTACCCGTTTCGGAGTACTATTTATCATGTATAGATATATCAAAACATGGCTTTTAACTTAATAAATACGCTTACCACGGACAATGACTAGTGTTTCTCGGCGAACGAATTGAAATAATCGGAAAATTCACGGAAACGCATGAGACTTTGATCGATTCTTTTCATATAGGAAATTATTCTTGAGGATACTGTACCTAATTGTTCCTGGTTTGCATCCTTTCAGCGCTCGTTTCAGCATCGTCGAAACAAAATTGATTTTGTACTCCAAAGATATGTTTTTTATATTGTCATAGGTTCCGCGAGAATTAGATACAGCAATGAGAGATTTTTTTTATTTTGTTTTAGAAAAAGCTTTAACTTGGTCCCATTTCGTTCGATAAAAACGAAAAAATCGAAATTGATCTATTTCAATTCGTTTCGTGTTGATTCTCTTTTAATCAATTTGTTTATAATTATTTACATAAAAAACATTGAATGTATACGTTCCGCTCGTTTTTGGTTTTTATTATTTTAAATAGCAAAATACACAATTCAAAAATATACGCTTTATGCTCATCTAGACATTCAATGTCTTTTTTTTTCTTCACCATCTTTGTTAATTAATAGTTGTAATAAAACGTTCGTTGTTTGTCCTGAACTAAAAAGGTATAAAAATTTTGGTGATTATCGTATCGATTTTATCAAATATTCCGTTCATTTTTTTGTTCGAATAATCGATCACGAAATATTCGATACAATACTCGTAGTTATGAATGAAATATCAAGTGTTTGGACTAGGCGACTAAACCTATTTAATTTTTATAACTAGACAGGTATTTTGGATATTTCGGTTTTTGGAATTCATAAAATGTATAATAGAGTGAGGTTATCATAATATTAAATATATACGATAAAATTTTATTTATCAATTGACTTCTACAACTATTTCGTTGCTTTCATTTTAAATTCTCAAATAGTTTTCTTCTTCCTCGGAATATTTTTACGTACGAGTATAAGCGTTTTATAGTATTTTTTGTATTGCTTTTTATTGCCGGGCTAACGGATCTAAGTCTTTAACTTCCTTATTATAATTAATAAATTAAATAAATAAATAAATAAATAATTGAATGAATAAATAATAAATTGCACGTAAAATAAAAACATATCACAAAATATTATGCGTGAAGAATTTCTACGCAACGTTGATTTTTAGTTTTGTTTGGAAAATTCTGTAAAAAGTATATTATTTAGTATAAATAGTTAATTTTTTTTATTACGAAGTTGGCCGAAGTATATGACGTAGGTAATGTCATTGAAACGTGTTCTTTACATATCAACTGTCAGTTGACAGTTAGTAATTTTAGTGAACTAGATAGTAATGACAAAAAATTCACCTTGTCATTTAATACCCGGCCTTCACCTCTATGCGATTCTGGTAAAAACTATTTTGATTCCTTTAAAAAAATAATAATAAAAGCTCATTAATCGAATCAAGCTTGTATCAACTCCATGCTGCGCAGCATCAATAGCATAAAAACCGACACTAATCTAAACGTTTAAAAAACCCAAAACCCAAAAAAATTGAGCACGTTCGACCAAAAAAAAACCCAACGAAATTCCGCAGTTCCTTCAATCGACGCTGACGGTCTGCGTCTGCGTCTCGGCGTGCACCGTCTTCTTGAACCGCTGCTGCCTCGAGTCCCACAGCGTGCACGACGACTCCAAGTGCTTGTTCAAATAGCTCTTCAGCGCGAACGTCTTGTGGCATTTGTTGCAGCTGAAGTTCTTGTCGTTCGAGTGCGTCTGCATGTGCGCCCGCAGGTTCGACCTGTCGGCGAAGGCCTTGCCGCAGTGGGCGCACCCGTAGGGCTTCTCCCCCGTGTGCGACCTGAGGTGGCCCTGCAACAGCCACGGCCTGGAGAACTGCTTGCCGCAGATGCCGCAGCTGTGGGCCAGCTTGTGCGTCAGCAGGTGCATCGCCAACGCCGGCATGCTGACGTACGCCTTGCCGCAGGTCATGCACTTCTTCGCCGACTGCGAGTCCAGGCTCCTGTGGGTCTGCTTGTGCCTGGATAGATTGCTGGAGGTGGCGTATTGCTTGCCGCAAACGTTGCACGCGTACCGGCTCTTCTGCCCGTCGTCGGTACTCTCCACGTCGATCTCCTGCTCTTCCTCCTCTTCAACTACCTTGTAGAATTTCTGCAACAGATTACTCCCGTCATTCTTACAGCATCCTTTCAACGCTTCAACCACCTATAGTAGAAACATCTAGCATCATTTCTTACCGTATTCGTGTTCCTAACGTGAGCATCAGCGCTGCTGTTATCCTCATCCTGACTGCTTCTGGTGCTTTTATTGGTGCGCCGGTTCCTCTTTTTCCGCCTGTCCGGTATGAGGAGCTGGGCGTTCTGGAGCTTCTGCTGCGTCTCCGGCTCGGGCGACAGCGGCAGGATGATGATGTCGTCGTCGGGGAGGGGCGCGTCGCGGCGCACGGCGGCGCACAGCTGGACGTTCTCCACGTCGGAGGAGCACTCGGAGGTGGGCGGCGTGGGAACGGCGGCGGGCACCTGCACCACGTAGACGATGGGCGAGGCGGCGTAGCAGGGCACCACGACCTGGGGCGCGGGAGCGACGGGCGCGTGCTGTATCACAGAAACTTGCCGCTTCTCCGGTTTGGATGTGGGCGCCGCGGCGTCGGGCGACAGCGGGCGGTAGGTGTGCGTGGGGCTGGGTGGGTGCGGTTCGGACTGGTGGATCATCACCACGCTGGGCGCCGGCAGAGGCGGTAGGCTTTGGGAGAGCGACAGCAGGTCGTGGGCCGCCTCCGTTTCTTCGGCGCTGCGCTTCGATATCGACACGGGCTCGGCGCCGTCGGCGTCTTGGTATTCGTTGAGCGTAGTGCCGTTGGGAACGAAGTCTGGCGACGGATCTGCGAACGGAAATCCTGGTCGTTAAACAATTAGCCGGCATTAAATGAGGAGGAACTTTTTAATTTTTTTTTGCGTTGCTCGAATTTCCTTGCCTCGAATCCCCCAGAAACGATTACAAATGAATCGGATTCGTTTGGAGCTTTCGCTCTCTCATTTAAAAAGTTTGGATTCGCCGAAATTGAGTCTTAAATATGGAAATGCCGCAATTCGGAACACCGAAAGAAAACAAAAAGAGCATTCGTCTTCTGGCGAAACGGGGAAAATTTCCAATCAATCCTAAACCGTGAAATTAAACGTTCGGAAAAGCTTTCCACTGCACAGCGCCCTTCGGAATTCAGATGGACGAAATTTAATCGTTAGTTGTAATTCTTCTTAACGAATATTACAATTTTTTAAATTTTGATAAATAGTAATTATTGCGAATTTCCGATTATTAGTAAATTTATTATGCAGTAGATTAATTTTAAGTGGCTCTAAATTCTGTCCAGGTAAGTCGTCGAACCGAATTATCATCGAAATAAGTCTATTGGATCTCGAACGAGACGGATGCAAATTTATATTTTGAACGGAATCCTTAATCGCAAATTGGAAAATATCAAGTAATTTAGCAATCGAAAAGATCCGAGAAGAACCAAGAAGTTTTAACGGGGGGGTCACCGGAATTCCCCAACAAAATAATTATCACTTAAACATAGACTAGAGACTAGAGACTAGAGACTAGAGACTAGAGACTAGAGACTAGAGACTAGAGACTAGAGACTAGAGACTAGAGACTAGAGACTAGAGACTAGAGACTAGAGACTAGAGACTAGAGACTAGAGACTAGAGACTAGAGACTAGAGACTAGAGACTAGAGACTAGAGACTAGAGACTAGACCTACTCTTCGTTCATGTTCGAAACCTGGATTCGGCGTTATTAATTAAGAAACGGCGCGACCGAATCCCTCGATGGTATGCTCATTAAACGTTAACAAAGCACCGGCGGGTCGGCTTGGGGGAGTTTGTTCGGCGGTCGGGCGAATATACACAACATTCCCGTGCCCGACCGAGCCTGGAACTTGTCCGCGATACCGATCCCGACCGCAACGGAACGTTCGAGGTCGACCTGTATTTGCGCAGGGTACCGATACAGTTTGTAATAGACCTGCAGAACAACAATCGTAAATAATACCGCGCGAAAATGTACGCTGTAACACCGAATTGTCGTTTCCCGCGTAAATAATCGGATTCAGGGTTGCCAACCGCCGGCGGTGACGTATGTGACGTTTGACAGTGAGTCGTGCCAACGCTGGATGCGATTGCGATGGAAATTTTCGTCTCGGAAATGATGGCTTTAAAGGCAAACAAAAACTTGTGTAGCTATTTCCGGTTATAAAAAGGCGGGTTGACGTCGGCGAAAATGGATTACTTTTGCACTAAAGCGACTCGGCGGCCTTTATTTTCCTCGTTTTCTTCGGAACGTTTGATTAAAAGTTTAGAAGTTGTTGAAATGCGGATAAGTCGCGAACTAAAATATCGCATCGCATGACTTTCGAGTGGGTTTCCCAAATTAGATTACGTGTTCATCGTTACAGGGCCGGATTATTTCTCGAGTTTCTCACCCAATTACATACAATCCTAGTTAAATATGCACTGTATTTCGAACGCTATTCTCCCAGTTTGCACGTGTAATCACCATCTATCATTTATATGGTGCAATTTAAGGGAAATTATCGCCTGAGTACGGTCCTGTTCCGGGCGAGAAACCGTTTAAAATTGTCCTTTTGCGCTTTTCTCGTTACGATCGCGCGTACGCCTTTCTTTTCCGTAATAAAGATAACGAGGCGCCTTCATTTTCCTTAGAAAGCCACTTGTTTAATATTGTTAAATTATAGTACGTGGAGCTTAAAAAGTTTCGACCTCTCCCGGGGAGTTTTAGGGGACTCTTTAATGTAAACGCTCGACTTCCGAATGGGACGGGAAAAAAAACAATATCAAGTTTTTCTTCCGTGTTTATGGCTCGAAACGATTGTAGAAGAAGTTGTTTTATTTTCCTTCCTTGTAAGTACGCTTTTGCATATTATATTATCTACGAGTAGAATATCAAGAGGTTTCGTGTGTTTAACTTAATTCGGAGCAACTGTGAGCGATGAAATTGAATTGTTGTACGTTCCGAGGAGGTTCCATTATTCGCAGAAACATATTTCGAACTTCTTAAAAACCCCCTTGTCGAATAAAAAGAGTAGATTTCTAAGTGAAAACCCGCCGCAGACGTTTTTAATTTCCTGCATTCGACATTGTTGTTCTCGTCGTCGAACAATTCCGAGTTCCATTGACCCATTTGGACGTGTATTTGCTCGCGGAATCGACGTGGTTTTTTTCGTCGGGAGCCGCGCTCCGTTTATTTTCCCCCCGGTCGTTTTATTTTTCGACTAAAAGTGGCTCGGAAAAGCGCCCGAATGTCTGTTTGCGCGCCGCGGGCGACGACATGTGTTTACCCCGCAAAAAAACGCGTAGTTTCCACGCTATACAGTTTAATCTCGATAGGAAAACTCCAGTATTTTTGGCGAACTTCTTACTGCCATTTTCACGCCAAACTCCAGCCTGGTCTCTTCCTGCACAAGACTTCTATTGTCTCGATAACTGTGTCGGGACAGATGCGACCCTGCCCATTTGCAACCCTGCGATATTTGCTACCCTTTAACCTAATGTGTTGATCTTAAAACGAGTAAAGAAACCAAGTTTTTGACATATATATACAACCCCTAACTCTGAACCCTGCATCCATCATAACTTCTATAACATCTATAGCTAATTTATATAAAAGTTAATCGTTGGTAAATATATTTAGTTGTGTTTTTAGTGAGAACATTAGCAGATAAAGCCTTTGGGCAATACGTTAGGAAGCGGCCGGCTCCAACTCGGCAACTTTTTATAGCTGTAAATCACAATTAAAGCTAAATCAACAAGCTCGTTTAAGTTCCTCCGCGGGGAAGATTTATTTCCGCAGGTTAAATTGCTTAACTTCGAGAACGGTGGCCGAGTATTAGTGTTATGAATTATTCCCGGTATTTTTGGCGTTGTTTTTTTTTTCGCTTCTTCTTCTTGTTCGGTCCCCGGCCCGGCAACTTTCTCGAGGGCGAGCTCGTTAGGCGGTAAGTTTTCTCCGCCTCCCGCCCGCAAACTTTCCAAGTGGATTCGGTTTTAGTCGGGCAGAGGGATTTTTCGTTCTTGCATATTTATTAGACGGCTCTCTAGTTTCGGAAGTTTCGATTTCTCATTCGTTTCCCGAGTTCGCTACACGACCGAGCTCTATTCGGAAAAACAAATTACTCCGACGAAAATGGGACAGAAACGCGTTAGCTCGAGCACTTTTCCGAACTGTAATTAATTTTCCTGTTGCTCTAATAACAATCCATCGCGGAATTTATCGTTTGTGTGCCGCAGGTGTAAATCAATTATTATTCATTAAGCAGTTCCTAATTTGCGTCTGCGAATTTACATGTTGTTTAATTGGCGCGGTAGGATAAATATCGAAAATTGCGCGTGACTTTCGAATCGAAATAATTGGCGCAGTCGGTAGGATAAACGTGCAGCAATTAATTCAGTGACAATTAGCGATGGCAATTTATTTTTAAGATACGAAACGATAATGGTGGAAACGATTGCATATTTTAATAGGATCGAGCAGGAAAGAGAACGAGAACAAAAATCCGCATTGATCCGTCGAATCAATTTTGTCGCTATACCGGTTCGGATCGGTTTCCATGTCCGTGAACATAATCCCGCTCAAATATAGAGCACTTATTGTCTATCTATTGATTCATTGCACAGCACATATTACATAATTCAAAACGACTATATTCTCGTATAAATGAAAGCCTAATCTTTCAATCGAATCGCTTCGATCAGCCCGGATTACTGACGTTTTTAATTTAAATGAATCCAATTTCGAATTGTATCTCTTGCAGGAAATCAATTCTGTCACTTGAACGCTAATTTATTTTAGGCTATTTATAACTGGTTATTTGCCGTTGTTTCGTTATTGAGATTCCTTTTTATCGGTTCATTCCAGATTTTTAATGGATTTTTTTTAATGGATTATTCAAGATAACTGCAGGCTTATAGTTTATTCCATATCTGATTGGTGATTTCATCAAAATTTAAGGGGGTGTGGTTGTTCACTATTACTTAATGTCCTTGATTCTGATAACTTAACAATTTCCATTCCATTCCCTATTCCTCCTACGTATCTAATTCCTATTCTAATCCTTATCTAATCTATAACAAATTCTAACCCACGTGGTTTTTATTCGAGTAAATGTTTCAAAAGGAAATTTGAGGGTATCATACAGTGAATAAATAATGTTTGAACGCCCACGTGACATCAAATTTAGGCAACTCAACAGGCACGAATAAAAAAAATAAATGTTCCTAAACAGAAGATGTCACATGTGAGAAAAATCAGATAATATTTAGAGCTTACTTGTTCGACTGGTGAGCGGTGTGTAACACAGCGGCGCGACGCACCCCTCCGTCGGGCTCTCGGGCGCTCCATTAGACGAAGACGAAGAACTGTTTTGGTCCCAAAACTCCTTCTGCACCGAATACTTGTTGCTCTGCTTCTTCACCATGTAGCAACGTGGCATGTCGTCCGGATCGATTCACCGGAAAAACCGCCCCCGGAAGAAAAAAAAAATATGTATCGAGAACGTATCCAGAGGAGGCGAGGACGCGGGCGGTCGAGCGGAAAACAAACAGCTTCGCACCCAGTTGGGCAGCAACAAGTTGGAGCCACAGGTAAACAACCTGCAGGACACCAGAGGTCCTTCGACGGACCAGGGTGCTGGCTAGCGCGACGCTCCGTCCGCGAACCGGTGGACGCCGACCCGGACGCGCCGAGACCGCACTCACCCCCTCGACGAATCTAACATGGACGGCTTCGGAGGAAATCGCGGAAATCGTTTGCACTCATCGTTGCACCACCTTGACCGAAAACGGCGTCCCGGCGCCCGTCGTCGAATCGCGCTTTGGCTCTTATTTCGGTTTTGTTTTTTTCTAATGGGATATAACTCACCACTCCCCGATTGAAATGCGTCTGGACGCCGCGATTCAGCGAAGGGATAGCGCACCGCGCACGCGCCCCCGTCCTTCGGCAGGATCGATACCGAACGACACCTGTTACCGGCCACGTCCATGTTGCGTCTCTTTCTGGCGCGCGGGGCCTTTCTGCATTTCTCCCACGCTGGTACGATTGCGATTGCATTAACCGTCGGGGCGCTTATTTCCCATCGCCCTATATGCATGGGGGAAGGAAGCGCAATCACGTTGCTTTCTCTCTACTTTTACACACGTTCGCGTTCCCCTATTACACACGTTTATTTTTGAAACTTTCGTTCGGTTCTTTGACGCAAGAATATCCAAGTAGCAAATCATTCGATCGATGATTAAGAAAATAGATTTGTATTGTGAATACAGGATAGATATCCTGCTGGGTAGAGCTAAATTTTTCGATCGATAAATGATTCGATCGATGATTAAGAAAATAGATTTGTATTGTGAATACAGGATATATGTATATCCTGCTGGGTAGAGCTAAATTTTTGGTGTGGAATTTATTAGAAACCTTTAGGGATCAATTATGACAATTATTTAGTTAGTTAAGGAATACATGTTGATTACAATACATTAATAGAGCTGTTGTATTAAATTTGCAATTTCCCAGGAAACTTGGTAGCTAATTGTCGATTATTTTCAGTGTAGTAATGTCTGGATACGCAATCACAATTACAACAAGAGTTATAGTCGATGAGAGAGCGGAATTGAATTAACCGATTCGCGAGCAACAAATGTACAGAGAGCCGGGGAATCGGGTTATCTCCATCGTCGTCTTCGTCGCCGTACATTGGATAATTGCTCAAAGAACCATTTTCACTAGTCGCTGTTTATTTTCTTGTTTTTCGGCTGCGCGAACCGGCTACAGAGAGACGTAATGAAATTTACCGGATTCCCCACTTGATGAATCAAAGCGTGCAACGCAAATATTAACTCTAGATAGACGCCGACGTGCTCGCGATTATACGAGCTAACGCGATTAATTCTTTCGAAAATTCGAATGCGATGAAATTCGGGAATTATACGGCGCTGGTTTTTAAAGTTGCACGTATTCAAATGAAGATTTAGCTCGTACGATTCGCGCAAACTGCGCGAGTAAATCAAGGGAAGAAATGTAGTTTTATGGGAAATGGGGTCGTTTGTGATTCTTCCTATAAATTACGGGGGTAGCGTTTTTCAACCAGACTTTCGTGATCTCCCGCTGAAACTGTAAATTACGGGTACAGGAAAATGCGATCCATTCGCAATCGTATTTTATTCCACAGGTGATTAGGTTCGTTGTAAAAAATTGCAGAATGTTGTATACTTTTTATAACGAAATTACGTGCATGCCTCTTTTTGATTTTTCGCTTCGAAACCATATAATTAGATCGTTAATTCTATAGAGTTTAAAACAAACCTCAACACCTAGAATAATAAAGAATAAGAAAAAGTTTTGCATACACGTATATACTCACGAATTTATGGATTAACCACAACACATATGCATTCCGGTAATAATGTGGAGTTTACCAGAAATTGCGCATATTACAATAAAAATCAGCGGATATTTTAATGACCCGCCGTCACGACATTTTCGTCTACTAAAACCCAGATAAAATTCATCTGAAAAATATCAACCAATCTTTGATAACACCGATGAGAAACAGACGTCGTTTACACATATTCTTCTTGAACATAACATCTTGATATATTTCAGAAATGTGCTTGATTACTCGACAGATCGAGTAGTGCAAAATATACCCGGTATCTCAAAAACTACAGAGCTGCTGTAATGGAAATGCTGTGCAATTTATAACAAATTTGTCCTCTAAGAAAGTCATCGACAGGATGAAAAACCGCGGCTCCTCCCATCGCCCGTAATTTAGGCCTAATAGCTCCGCCGTCGAACCAAATCGATGGCTTTTTTCCATCGGTTTTTGATAGACGATGACATGAATAATGATAGAGCGTGAAAGCAACGCCGTCAACTTAGCCCTTATTTTACGCGGCGAGACTCTCAATGGAGGGCAATTTCTCGGGCGGAAAGTGCTTTCTAATTTTCCGACATTAGGCGATGCATCGACTAAGTGGAGGATTTTCCGTCAGCCCCCGCGAAAAATTAACATACCTATTTATTACCCGTACATCTCGACTGTATTGATCCGATCCGCGTTCGAGCACGAGAAGCTTTTTTTCCGTACAAACATCGCCATCGATCAATAAACAAACGCCCCATCGATCTCGCTAATACCTCGACGTTAATGCGAAACTTGTATACACTTGCATCGAGCAGGTGGAAATTCGGCGAATGTCGAAGTCCCTCGGGGCGTCGCGTCGCCCCGGAGGTATACACTCTCACCTCGTTCTCTCTGACGTTAATTTGACAAAGCAACAGCTTCGGAACGGATATCAACAGGTCGGATGTCTTTCTCTTCGCCGACATCCGAAAGGGAAATTAATTCTCCAGCAATTAAGCCTGCTCGCTGTAATTATATTAGTTGCTGGTTATCTGGACCGTCCCGTATATACTACACCCGATTCCAGGTGAATTCGGGAAGAAAGCTCTAGAGGGATTGGTGTAAATGAAGCTGAGTGCATTTTTCCGCACGCCTGAAGAAACCATCGCTCTTCTTTTAATTAAGATACAAACGTTATTTATTCGTACGTGAAAACCGCCATTTCGCGGAGCGTTTCGTCGCGAAAAGTCAGGCACGCTATTGGTTATTTATGTCGGAAAAGTCAGACGTCGGGCCCCCGCGAAACTGATAACAAACGTTGTAGCCGTGTTCGTGATAGCACCAGATGAAAATGCTGTGAGTTATGACGACTCTTATCTCCCCCGTCAGTTATCCTTATTCGAATTTGCGTTCGCGTTTGATGCCAACGTGCATGTGATGTGCCCCGTATCTTCGGAAATATATATTTTCCCGCATCGAACGGATTAAATGATTTAACTGATACATTTCAGTGTAATTGTTGCGGTTGATTTCTCTTATACTTCAGCATCATGTAGGTGAATATGCAGTGTTAGTTATATAAATTTATCGCAAACAATCGTTGGAATTAACTACCTACTATTTTGGTGAATAAGGTAGATAACGCGGGGGTATTTTTCGGTCGATCGGTAATCGCTGATAACGATAACGAGCGATGATAAAGCTTTCGAATTCGAAAATCCCCCACGGCCGGCCGCGAACACAACACGCATCGCAAACGTATTTCACCGCATTCGGTGGCGAAGTTAATTGCGGAGGTGTTGCGATTGCGGCCTCGATCGTGCCGCTTTTGCCACAGGTAGCTGAATTTATAGTCGCGGCGCCCGCGAATTCCCGCCGTCCGATTCTTCCGTACCGAAATTCGCCACCGAAATTCCCATCAGCGAGAAATAAACCAACAGCAATCTACTTTTCATCCTGTTATAGTACATGAGCGTGAAAGCTCGCGGCGAAGTTCGCGCGCGTGGACTAACAAACGCTTAGCGGGCGGCCGGGGGGGCGGCCCACCGCCCGTCCCCGACACGCATACGTGATGGATTCACGGGAAAATACGACGTTGTAAATCACTGCCGCTACCGTCGGTTGCCGCTATCTGGATAACTCTCGTGCCGACCTCTATCAGATGACCTGCGTGATCTCCCTTGATGGATCTACGGCCGCGTATACGCGGCGAACGTACGTGTACGCCGCCCCCCGACTGCCCCCCCGACCCCGATTCGCTCGCCCGCCGTCCCTGCGTTCATTTTTTTTACCGCGATACAAAAGCGATCAAACCTCCGACCGGTCAATTTCCAAATGCCGTTAATTAATTGCTCGGGCCGATTACAAACGGAATTGACCCGAAAAATTTGTACTAAATCGTTTATTCTATAATACAATGCATCTCTAAGAGATAATAGGTCTTCACTAGAATAGGTCTCTAGTAGAATAGGTCATAACTAGAAGAGGTCTTTTCTATATCTTCAAAGAAGAGGTCTGTACTGGAATAGGTTTCTTTTAGAATAGGTCTGTACTAGAATAGGTCTCTATATACTACAAGGTCTCTACTAGAGTAGGTCTATATTAGAATAGGTCTCTTCTACGATGTGTAAAAATTACTGAGAATTTTTCGTTCAAAACGCGCCAATAATAAGAAAAATAATTCGATAAATAATCGGGCATGGCGGTCCATTATCCATCCCTGATGCTCGGTATTGTCTGGTGTTATGGCGGCGGCTAACAATAACAAAAGACGAGTTGAAACAAAGCGAAACCAGATTCGCGTCCCGCGGATATGCGGCCCCCATTTTCGAGGATTTATTGTGATAGCCTCTCCGTCGAAGCCGCAATCGGATTTAGTCCGGGAACCGGGCTAAGTCCCATCGCGCCAGGACCGTTACCCAGCACCGGCGAAAAAAATCCTTTCCGTCGATGATTGTGGTGTTTATTTACAAAATAATACTTTGATACTTCGCAATGTTTCACATGATTGTAGTTGTAATGTGTTAAATTCTGTTAGCGTTTGGATTTTTTTGTTTTGCTTTGGAAATTTCTGGATTTGACCCTGCCGAATTCTGTCGTTCGTCTTTAGCGTTGGAAAAATTACTCGGTTTTATGTCTCGGCGTTCGTTCTTCGCGTTTTCGAAAATTGGCGGTCGCCCGTTACCGCGCGCCAAATGAAATAACTGCGGATAACTTCGGGTTCAATAAGGAGAAAGTGTTTTCCATCTAAGTTATGAGTTTCCCTTTTCTCCTCATCGCTCGTTCTTACCCCATTCACGCGATTCGCAAGTTTTTTGTACACACTCCGTATACTAGTATACAGGGTGGATCAAATAAATTTGGGTATTTAATTCGTTGAATATCTGTGTGTAAGTGTAGGAAGTTAGTAATATTATCAATCGGTTAATCGAAAAGGCAAGTTTCCAGGGGTGCTCCCGGCGATATCGCGTAATTTCCTACATCTCAATTAATTCGAAACCGACTCTCTAACGACAAAAGTTTAATTGTTTCGCTCGCGATTCCAACGGCACGTCGAATTTTCGGAAAGTATTCCACCGCCGCCGCCGCCGCCGCCGCGCCGGATCAATAGCACCTGTAGAAG